CTGTCAAACTGATCGGGACTTGTCCTGGTCCTACTTCCCCTGGTTTCTGAGGCTGCCAATCTTCACGGGAGCAGACAGCCTCATCTCTCTCCCTCGGGTCTGGGGGAGCCAGGCCCCGCTCCAGGACGGCCTGGGTGACACAGGGCCAGCTCACCGCTGCAGCACGGCATCCGAGCTCAGGGTCCTGTCCTCCAGCATGCGGAAGGCTGGCAGCTGTACCACAAACACGCTGCCGCTCTCGGTGCCCAGGTAGAGAAGCTCGCGGCAGGAATGGGGCAGGATCACGGTGATCTGTGTGGCGCTGGGGGCAGACCTGTGGGGGAAGGGCTGCCTGTGAGCACAGGGTCCTCAACTTCTGGCTCCCTCACTGCCCGCCCACTGAGGGAAAACAGCCTGGAGGTCCTTTAGTGGGGGGACATGAGAGGCAGGCGGCTGGCTGGCCGACAACGCCCCCCACCCCCAGTATGTGAGGAGGGAGCTTGCTGTCCAAACACCCTGTTGAGGATGTCACAGCTCAGAGACCCAAAGGTTCCGACAGGAGGTCAAACCGAACTGGTGCCGGGGTTCCTTGTGGTGGCTGGTTAGAACCCAAAATCAAACTCATTGTCAACGGGTCCATTCCAACTCAGGGCAGAGTAGAACTGGCCCGGGGGTTCGAGACGGTGCTCTTGGCAGGAGTAGAAAGTCCCGTCTTTCTCCCAAGCAGTGGTTGGTGGTTTTGAACTGCTGACCTTGTGGTTAGCAGCGCAACGTGTAACCACTCTGCTGCCAGGGCTCCTAGACAGGATGCCAGGGGCTTAATCCACAGGAACTCATCGATTAAGACCCCACAGCTCACCTCTGAGGCTGAAAAGGTATTTTGCAAGTTTAAACATGAGGGCCGAGAGGTGGTCGTTTGCGGGCATCCCAACAGTCCAGTTTCGAGCTCCTCCAAGGCCGAGACGCTGTCCTCAGTGAGGGGCCCTCGCAGGATGACCACCCCGCCCCGATGCCCGCCCATGTGGCTGCAGAGGTCAGGCTGGTCAAGAGAAGAAGAGTCCCCAGTCCTTACCCTGGGGGGCCGCGCAGCGTGAAGCTCTCTTCCTCCTGCAGTTCCGACACCCCGCCCTTGACCTTCAGGCTCCAGAGATGCAGGCTGTTGTCGTCCAGCAGTGTGACCAGGCGGCACTGGGAGGGGACAGGGGGCACTGCCTTACCAGCCAAGAAAGGAGGATTCCCTGGGGCCCTTAAGTCCTGGGGGCCCAGCAATGAGACCAAAAGCCATGCCCCCTGCCCCATCCCCCTACTCTTAGGCCAGCCCGTACATCCCAGTGGTGAGAGGGCAGGTGGTCCTCCAGCAGCAAACCCTGGGCCACCAATGGGCACCTCTGCACCTGCACCCTTCCCAAGATGTACAGGTGGGAGGCGGGGCACCCTCACCTGGTCAGGCAAGAAGTGGACCTGGACGACGGCGTTGTTCTCCCGGTGCAGCCCCATGAACTCCACTCCGGGGGCGCCGTAGCTGGCAGCATGCTCAGGAAAGGCCCCGCACAGGCAGACACCAGACCCACCTGCCCCCATGCAGATCTCTGGGCCCACAGGCAGGGACCACCAGCAGGATGGCAACAAATGAGATTCACCCACCCCTCCTGGGCAGGACCTGGGATCTAGTCTTGGAGGGGAGGTGACAGTAGTGGTCTGCCCTGGGACTGGGAGGTGATAGTAGTGGCTTGACCAGGTGGCGCTAGGTCCCCCTGGGAAAGCTTCCCCAGCCAGGCAGGTGGGGTGACGCCCCCAAACGGTGAGGCTTTATCTTGGCAGTTACTAGGTATGGCGGGCCCCTGGCCAACGTGACCTGTCACCGCTCCATCGGCTCCCGTGTGCTGGTACCAAGGAGAACGTTCTGGGCACCTCCTGGGGCCGCCCCCAGCAGCCCTGGCCCACGTGTCTTGGCAGCAGGGGCTGGTAACCAGGATGTGGCCCAGGCCTGGCAATGATTAACCAGCAGAGGCCAGGGCATGCAGCGGGTAGGCCCAGCTTCCACCCTCCCTTCGATAGGAGAGGAGCAGGGGAGTACAGTTCCATGGAGGAGCGGCGGGCTCTGAGGACAGCCCCCCATCTGTAGGTCTCCCCCTGGAGAGGGGGGACATCACCCCATCTCTAGGTCTCCCCCTGGAGGGGAGCGACCCTCTCTGCCATCTCTGGGGAAGCACAGGGCCCGTATGGCAGAGGTGCCTTGTCAGAAAGAGAAGCTTGTTTGGCCCCATGCCCTGAGTTCAGGGCAGGCTCCTCAGGGGCCACCTGGAAGGTCCTCGGGGACGAGGGGTTGTCCTACTTTATTTGGTGCAGGGGGGACATCACCCCATCTCTAGGTCTCCCCCTGGAGGGGAGCGACCCTCTCTGCCATCTCTGGGGAAGCACAGGGCCCGTATGGCAGAGGTGCATTGTCAGAAAGAGAAGCTTGTTTGGCCCCATGCCCTGAGTTCAGGGCAGGCTCCTCAGGGGCCACCTGGAAGGTCCTCGGGGACGAGGGGTTGTCCTACTTTATTTGGTGCAAGGAGGAGGGTGTCAAGACAGGCAGGGAGACCTGGGGTTCCAGGCTGGAAGGGGACATCCTCATTGCCTTCAGAGGGACCCCTCAAAAGCCTCAGCTTGAAGGAATGAAGGATCCTGCTTGTACCCGGGCAGACCACATGGGGCAGGGTGATGGCCTTCCTCCGCAGTCTGGGCCCTGGGGCCACATCCCCGGCCGCGGGCTGGCAGGGTAGGAAGGATACAGTTTGATGGCCCCGGAGCGGGTGCCGATGGCCAGCATGCGCAGGGAGGCACTGTAGCCGAGGGCGCTGGGCTGGTGTGGGAAGCCATGCTCCACGGTCTGCAAGAGAGTGGTGGGCCGCAGCCTCAGAGCCCAGCAGAGGAGCCCCAGCCCCCAGCCCTTTCCGAGCAGAAGGGAGGACGATCAGAGAGGCTCTACCCCACACCTCTTGAGTGTCGGAGCCAAGCCGGGGCCAGACAATTCCCAGCTCTGGGCCCCTAACCCTACCCCTCGAGCCCCCTGGGAGTTCTTCCCTGGCTTCCGGAGAAGTTGTTGGCTCTCTGTAGTAGAGATTAGATATGGGTGGGTGGATGGGGGGTAGGAGGTTTGCCTCATCGTGACCTTGTAGGGTCCTGAGGGTCCAAGCCTGCAGTCCCTACGGAGCAAACGGCCTCATCTTCCTGCTGAAGATCAGCCGGTGCCATTAACAAACCTTGGTCCTGTTTCATAAGGTATCGGTAGACATCGGTAAGGAGGACCAGCAAGGAATGGAGAAGAGGAGAAAACCAGACCTTGAAGTTCAGAGCCAGCTACAGAGTGAAAACCCTTGTGTGCCAGCTCTCTTTCATGCAGAGGGATGGGGAGAGCTCTTTGTGCCTTCTGTCTACAGATCCGTGCAGCACATCTACTGTGTCCGCTCTGTGCAGTGCTGCAGACGAAAGCTCGCAATAAACAGTCTCATCCAAACTAGGAGGGAGGGAGGGAAGCAGCTGGTGGGTTTGAACCACTGTCTTTGACACCAGCAGCTTAACCCACTGTGTCACCAAGGCTCCTCAAGGTAAAAAATGACCAGAAAAAAAGGAGAGAGACAGCTTCAGAAGCTGTCTCTCTGGGGGGCTCTGTCCTGTAGGCTCACTAGGAGTCAGATGGAACCCACGCCATGGCACAGAAAGTCACAGGGCACCTATACTTTCTGTTCATCTCTTATTAACAACACACCCCCCACCCCCCACCCCCAGTGGGAAGGCATCACCCTTGTGAACTCCGTGAAGTCTGTACTCTTGAGTGCTCCAAGCTTGTGGGTGCTGACACCTATGTGATCATATCTGCAATCCGTTGACTGAATCTCTTCAGAACACGTATGTGGGCTCGTGAAGGAAGGAGCACAGGCGGGTGCGTGGCTCTGGAGCCTGTCCCCACACATGTCCATCCCATGGCTGGGGAGGACTCCTGAGAGAAGCTTCCCCTGCCCAGTAGTGACTACTGCCAGTCTCGCTGCCGATACTGAACTGGTAATGTTCCCGGGCCCAAGTGCCTCCTCGGGCACAGCCCCGGAGAGGGACTCCCAGACTCAAGTCCATGCTACTGATGGCCACGAATAGAAAACAGCTTCGGGACAGCATCGCGGCGTCCGTTTCTTACCCGCCCCCCACCCCAGACGACAGTGAACTTGAGCTGCCAGCGGGGAGCTGAGCAGTGGGACTGCTTGAGCTTGCCCTGCAGGAGACAGTGTGTCCCTCGGGGCATCACTGAACTGCTGTCAGGCCTCAGAGCAGCAGAGAGAGAGAGAAGGCTGTGGTGACAGCTGGTGCGATGACGGCTAAGAAAACCCAGCTGCTCACCGAGGCCCTGTCCTGCCCAAGCGACTCATAGGAGGAGGCCCTGAGCAGGGGTCAGGTCAGGGAGGAGAGTTCTGAGGGACGGAGGGAGAGCCGCTGCTGGGGACCCCAGGCTTTGTTCCTTGCCAGGTGGCCAGCATACATGGCTTCGGAACGAAATCTTTAGGGGAGCAGGCAGCCTCATGGTTCTTAGTTCGAGCCTGCAACCTCTCAGTGAGCAGCTGAGTGTGCCAACTACTGCACCACCAGCGCCCCTAACTCGATGTTCAGGATGCTGAGCAGAACCCCATGTGTCTCTGCCACTGTGGAGCCCTGTGGTGCAGTGGTTACCAGTTTGGGGGCTCACCTCAAGGCCAGCAGTTCGAACCCACCAGCCGCCACCCCGCAGGAGCATGAGGCTTTGTTTCAAGCCCATGGGGCCGGGCAGTCCTGCTCTGCCCCTCAGGGTCAGAGGACTCAGAATCAGCTGGATGGCAGTGGGTCCGGGTTTGGGGTTCGCCTCACAGAGAAAAGGCAAGGCAGAGAAACCTACAGTGAGGTGCCAGCTGCCCAGGCCACGCCCGAGCCTCCTTGCTCTCCGCCAAGAAGTTCTCTCCACGTCTCACCCGACTCACTCCTGCTGCCATCAGCCTCTTCTCTGACCCCCTCCATCTCATTGCCCCCCCAAACCCCAAACTTACCGGGCTTAAGTCGATTGCGACTCATCCGGAAGACAGAGTAGAAGGGCCCCATGGGATTCCCAAGGGCCTTCTCTTTCCAATGGACAGGCTGGGCGCATTCTAACCACCTACCTTCAAGTTAGCGGCCAATCCCTAACTGCTGCGCCACTAGGGACCCCTTTCTCTGACCCAGCACGCGCGCGCGCACACACACACACACACACACACACACTTTCTTTTCTGCAGACTTGTTTAGGAAGAATGGGCTGGGTGAGGCTGATTAAACTTCCACTGGCCCCTCCGCAGCCACAGGGCGGCTGGACTTGGGTGAGCTACTCTGCCTCCACGCCCCACGGTTGCCCAACGTGTGTCAGGGAAGAACTGTGCTGCTCCATAGGGTTTCCAGTAGCAGGCTCTTTAGGAGCGGACCGCCTGGCCTTTCTTCTGACTCACATCTGGGTGGGTACAAATCTCCAACCTTGCAAGGAGCCCCTGAGTACCTGAACCGTTAGCGCCACCCGGTGCCTCCCCGGCACACCCCACTGTGACTCTGATAAGCAGGACGGGGCTGATGAAAGTACTGAGCAGGCTGTCCTCGGTGCGGGGAGTGATATGCAGACCTTTACGAAGGACATCGGTTCCCTCCAAAGGATTTTTTCTGACATGCCCACCCCGTCCCCCAAATCCCCCCCAGGAACCTTCTCCTAGCTGACAACCGGGGCACCCCCAGAAACCAGGACCATGAGTTTCCATCACAGAGACAGACCCTAGCTGCACAGGGCCCCAGAAAGAGATGGCCCACAGGGAATCAACGCAGCAGCCAGGTTCCTCTCAGGGGACCCCCGAGGTCTGGCGAGGGGAGACCCACAAATCTGGAAGGGAGGAAAGGAATCCTTGGCCCCTGCCAGTGAGAGGACCAGGGGGTCTTTCTGGGCCAGGAAGGGAGTGTGTTAGGATTTGGGGAGCAGCTGGAGGGTGGCTGGGCAGAGGACAGGGGACAAAGAGGAGCTGGCGAACCAGGCCGGAAGGTTCTGCAGGGTCAGGGCTGACTTCAGACACCCACCCTCCTGGCTGGGCTCCAGCTGTCCCTGGTCCTTGATTTCCTTCCCAGTCTTTCAGCCCCCAGCTCTCAGCTGGGGTACTAGTCCACGCGGGGAGTCCACCCAGCGCCCCACCCCACTGGTTCCAGTGTGAGCAGCACGCAGGTCCTGGGGAGAGGCCCAGGAGGTAGGCTCAGCCCCAGGGCTGCCCAGGTGCCTCACAGCCACAGTGAAACTGGAAAGGCACACAGCGGTTCTGAATCACTCTTCTCCGGAGACAGGAAGTAGAAGGGTATGGGGGAAAGAGGGTGGGGCAGGGGCAGAGGACAGTAGGCAGAGCCGCCGGGCCTGAGACCCCAGCCACCCCCAGCCTGACAGCCACTGGGTGTCCTCTCAGTTCTGGGCACCAGCTTCACACGCCAACCCACTCCGGAGAACAGCACCAGGCCTACCTGTGCCCTGCCCCCAGCCTGCTACCTGGCTCAGGTGACCTGCAGGGAAAACAATGAGCTCTTTTGACAGGGCTTTGGGAAAGGAGAGCAAAGATTCTCTGAGCCGCCAGGCTGCAACTCCAGCTGGAGTGGAGAGAAAGCCCATTTGTGCTGGCTGGCTCCACCACCCACTGGGGGCTCATGGGGCAAGCAGATCTGAGGCTGAGTATCAGACAGTGTGTGTGTGTGGTGGGGGGGGAGGCTTCATCCCACCTGAGCAAGAAGGATCCCACCCAAGAGAGTGGGCCCAGCCCACATCTGGGTGGGAGGGAGGGCCCTGGGGCCCAGAGCCCCAGCTGGGTGGTTCTACCTGATACTGGGTGCGGTCAGCTCAGATTCCTGGCATGGTGGCAACTGGCCCTCCCTGTGGGGCTGTCACCTGACACCAGGGGCTGGGCCATGCAGAAGCCAAGACAACACCACCTGGCCCTGGCCAGGGCAGCCTGGCAGGCAGTTTGCTCAGGGCATTGGAGGGGGGCCACAAGGGCAGAAAGGCCCAGGAGCCTCAGGGCGGCTCAGGCCAGGCCAGATGGGCTGGTCAGGTCCACCGGCCCGGCCAGTTCGGGCATGCTTGGGTTTCACCAGGGGAGAGAGCCGGACGGGAGCAGTTCTGCCCTTGGAGACATTCACCCACTGAGAACTCTCACCACCAGCACTGTCGGCCTGTCTCCCCAGCTGGCCAAAGGGCTCCTTCCCCTCCACACACACCTGTACTCACCTGTAGAATGGGTGGTGGTGGTGGTGGTGGTGAGACTGAGGCAAACCAGTAACAGGGCGGGTTACTCCTAAGCAGTCTAACCCACTCAGCCTGGGTCATCAACGGTGGGTGGGGCTGGGGGGGGGGATCTAGAACTCAGGCCATCTGGCTCCAGGGGCCCCCGCTTCTAATGACTGCACCACACATCCCCCTCGTGGTCTGGCTTCCAGCAAACTGCAGTTGCCCCTCTTGACAGCAAGCCCATGGCACAGAGGGCTGAGATGTCCCTGTCACAGGGGCAGGGATTTGCTGCTCCAGGGGCCTAACCCACCCCCAACCGCCCGTCCCCCACCCTTGGTGGCATCTCATGCAGTGTGGGTGGGAAGAACTTGACCAGAAGGTGCTAGAAGCAAAGGTCCCGTGTGGTGTCTGGACTTGTGAGGGTGACAACGAGCCAACCACCTTGCACAGTGTCCTCGGCGGCCAACTTTTCTAAGACAGAGCTCTCGGAAGAGGAGGCCAAGGCCATCGCCTGGTCTAGACCCTGACTTCCACCCTTCCGGGGGCTGGCATCATCCTCCATATCCAGCCCAGCAGCCCAGCTGCCCCAAAGAGCTCCAGCTCTGCAGGCCACACTGGCCGCACGGACTCCTTCACCAGCAAGTCTCAAATTAAAAACCCACACTCGCTGCCAGTGAGCGGAATCCGACTTACAGCAACGGAGCACAGCTGCCCCGTTGGTCTGAGACTGTACCTCTTTATGGGAGTAGAAAGCCTCATCTTTCTCCCACAGAGGGGCTGGTGGTTTCGAACTGCTGACCTGGTGGTTAGCAGCCCAACATGTAACCCACTGAGCCACCAGCCTCTCCAATCTCTAAGGTCTAGTCAGTTAAGACCCAGAGCCTTGTGGTCCCCTACAGTAGTACCCACTGCTGAATCTTACCAGCCCTATAGAACGGGACAGAACTGCCCAGAGGTGGCCCAAAGCTGCGGGTCCTTATGCGAACCCACGGTCATCTCCTTTCTCCAGTGGAGCAGCTGGTGGGTTTCAATCACTGAATTTGAATCCCTGGTTAGCAGCCGAACCCTTACACCTCCCCCCACCCCACCCGACACCTATGAATTCACCTACTTGCTCACTCAGTCCGCACAACTCTGTCCAGGCAGCAGCAGTCACTGTCATCTCCACTCATCTAGAGGTGAGTGACCTGCTTAAGGCCACCAGCGTGTGACAGCTAGAGCTTTAAATCCAGTCAGGTGCACGTGCATCTGCACCACTGACCGCTTGGCCGACCTGCCTCTCCCTAAATAGAAGCCAGGGCTTCTGCTCTCCCATCAGGCTCCCCATGGCAGACCTTGGCAGCAACAGTTCACCCAAAAAGGAGACCCTTAGATTAGCCCAGACCTGCATCTCCCCACCCCCCTTGTTTTCCCAGCGCCCAGTAAGAACCCAGGCCCATCTATCAGCAGGTCTCAGGCCCCAAATAGCCTCTAGCTCAGCGGTGGCTCTGTGCCCTAGGGAACGCTGGACAATGTCTGGAGCCATCTGGGGTCCTAATAGCTGCAAGGAAGCTACTGGTATCCAGAGCGTAGAGACCAGGGACATTGTTAAACACCCTATCGTGCGAGGACAACACCCATCGCCCAGAATGGTCCACTCCAAATACAATGTGGCCAGGGCCGAGAGCCAGGCCTGCGCACACCCTGCTCAGCTCCTGGGTTTCAGACTCTTGGAGCGACCCTGACCTCACACCGTAGTTATCTCAGATGGATCCGAGCCATATGTCATGGGGAGTGAAGACATTTGTAAACCACAAAAGTCACGGCGACTGAGTCAATGCCGACTCACATAGCAACCCTACAGGACAGGGTAGAGCTGCCCCTGTGGGATTCCCAGACCATAAATAACTCTTTAAGGAAGTAGAAAGCCTCTCGTTCTCTCCACAAAGTAGGAGGAGAAACGGAATGAAAAGATGATGCAGTTTCTCCATGCATCTTTAAAACATCTTCCTCCTCCACAACTGTAAACCTCTTAGAAAGACTCAAAAAACACCCTCGCTGCTGTAGAGTCCATTTGACTCCTGGTGGCCTAACAGGACAGGGTAGAACTCCCCCTGGGGGTATCTGGACTGTAACGGTCTCATCTTTCTCTCATGAAGCATTTGGTGGTTTTGAACTGTTGACCTCAAAGTTAGCAGCCCAACTTGTGCTGGCTATGCCTCCAGGGCCCCTCTACAAAAGACATAGAGGACAAATCCTTATGACCTTGGGTTTGTCAATGGGCTTTTTTTTTTTGGTATTAGAACAGATAGGGATGGCAGGACTTTTTTTTAAAGACACCATAAGCACAGGCAGCAAAAGAAAAAAGATGAGATAATTAAAAACTCATTGGGACTTGTGTGCCCTGAAGGGCTCTAAACAAAAGGTGACGGGAGAGGGGCAAACACTGACAAGTCATGTGCCTGCAAGGGGCTTCCATTCAGAACCTAGAAAGGCTGCTTGGGGCTGGCAGCTAAGAACCCTCCTCCGTATCTTGCGGAATCAGTGGGGTGGCTCACAGGCTCCCCCCAGCCAGCCACCTGCTTGTCCCATGGCCCCACAGCAAACCTGAGGCTTCAGGGGGCACTGTGGGCAGACCACCCAGGACGCCACATCCTCTAGGCTCTGATCTCACCCTTCAGTCCCACCCTCCCCTCTGGCCTCCTATCGGTCAGCAGGGAATTTAGACCCTCAGTCCCTCCCCCTTCCTGTCCATTGGAAGTCCCCAGGATAGTCTTAATCACTGTCACCTGAGATTTCACTGGGCCCAGCCCCAGGCTGTAAACTCAGTAGGTGTTTCCTGGACATGAATTGGAATTGGGGTTGGGGTTGGGGGTGGGGGTCAGGAGGCAGATCCAGTGAAAGGATCACACCCTGAGCCAGGCCAAGTTCGGGGACCACTAGCAGTCTAGCAGTACTTGGAGTGGGGGTGTCCTCCACCTTGGCCACACCCCAGCCTCACCCTGCAGGAGAGAGAACCAGGCTTACCCCTCTTTGCCGAGCCTGTCTGTCCGGTTCCCACTGCAATTGGCCGCCTTTTCAAGGTGTGAAACCCCAGTGTCACCCTACCGTACACACGGAAGTCCCAAGGTCCCCAAGAGTGAGGAGGGGCTCCTAGGGCTCTACTTTCACCACTCATGCCCCCTCTCCCCACAGGGCCCCAAAGAACAGCCTGAAGCTTCCTTCCATGAGGTGAGTCCTAACCCCAGAGGCCACGGGCCTCACAGCAAAAGCAGCGTGACGTGGAAATCAGTGACCTCCCACCCCACCCCCACCTCTGTCCGGCAGCTCCGCAGAGGCCTGGAGGAGCCCACCCAGAAGCAGCAACTGAGAATCTCAGGGCACCGGGCTTGGCTCTGGTTTCCTCAATTTTAGTCACCCCTCACTCCAAGGTGGGTGAGTGTGTGCGTGCGTGCGTGCTGGTGGTGAAGGAGGAACTGGGTTTGAACATGGACCAACCACCTTCATGTCCGAAGTGCCCACTTCCCACAGACACTACGGTTCTCAACCTGTGGGTCTCAACCCCTTTGGAGGTCGAACGACCCTTTCACAGGGGTCACCCGATTTATCACAGTAGCAAAATGACGAAATAACAAGGAAAATAATGTTATGGTTGGGGGGTCACCACCACATGAGGTACTGTAGGAAAGGCTGAGGTATGAGGAAGGTGGAGAACCACGGGTCTAAACTGGGGTGGGGGCTGGGTGGTGCATAGTCCAATCTGAAGCCCCTCCGGAGAATCTGCCCCACCCCACCCCCCATGGATGTCCTGGAGAGTTACCTTCCGGCCAGGGGAGTCGAGGGCAGCCGAGAGGGAAGCTGGTCAAGGCACCCCAGGGCCCAGATCAAAGAGCGCGTGAGGAAAAGCCGGTCTGTTTTATTAGCCGGGCCGCTCCACATTGCTAGGTGACTGGGAGCCGAGTTTATAGACCAGCGCTGCCCTCCGAGCTGGGACCCTCCCTGTGGCCCCAAGGATGGGTGACTCTGGCTTGGGGGGGGCAAGGTTGGAACTGGGTAGGATGGGAGGGGGCATCCAAGAACCATTCTGGCTGGTTCTCCCTGGGCCCTCTGCCACCTACCTAGCCTCCCACTGGGAGGCCACTCTTGGCCTGTTGGGAGACTTAGCTGCAACTCCTGGGACCCTGGGGCAATTGGAGGAGGGAGGGAGCCAGGGACCGCCGAGGCCCGAGGTTCGTAGCATCGCAGGCCACAGTATCCCTGCACAAGACTGGACAGCCCAGTGAAGTCCCCTCTAACCAGGGAGGCCAGGCAGATCAGGCTAGCCCCACTTTACAGGGGGGGAAACTGAGGCTTATCCAGGGAGGGTGCTTTGTAGAGACCACACAGCCAGCAGGAGATTGGGGACAAGATTCCAGGAGTCCCAATGCCTGGGCATCCTACTGCCCATTCCCAGGGACCTCTAACCAGCCCCCAGTCCCAAAGCCACGAGGCACTGTAGGCTGTGCCAAGGAGGGACCTTACCCAGGCAGGTAAAGGAACCCCAGTCAGAAGACAGCGACCCCCCAACTCCACCTCCCCGGCACCCCTCACCTTGTTGAACTGGAATAGGTCCCGCTTCAGTCTCTCCCGCTCGGGGTCAGGGCCCGACCGCAGGAAGCGCCTCATCTTGTTTTATTCACGGCCCCTCAGAGACCTGGAAATGGAGACGGAGGGGGTGGTGGGCAGCAGAGCCACGCACACATGTGGTGTCCCTTGGCAGTGCCCCTGTCACCCAGTTACCAGGCCGGCCCAGTACAGGCAACCACGAGGCTCTCCAGACTAGCCCGGTTCCACCATCACCCACCCAGGCCCTGCCTGTCCCTACACCCGGTGGAATGGAGTGGAGTGGAGTGGGGGCCCCGAGGAGAAGGCACCTGGGCCGGGCCTATCCTGGGGCTGCTGAATGCTCTCACGCTGGCTCCTGGCAACCTGTGGCCCTATAATGCCAGCCGAGAAGCTGGGGGAAGAAGCCATTTAGCCTGGCTTTATAGAGACAAAGAGGGCTGGGAGGCCCTGGGGTTAATTGGCTTAATTGTTAACCTGTTTTCTGAAGAAAAAAAAAAAACCACCATTAACCTCGGGCTAAACAGAAAGGGAAACTTCACAAGCTTCTCTCTCCAGAGGCGTGTGGGGGCACAGGCTGGGGAGAGCCTGATCAACATCGGGGCTCGGTCATTCTGCCTGGTCCTCACCTCTGGAGCCTGTCTGGGGCCTTCTCTCTCCTCTGGCCACCGTTGATCCAACCAGCCACAGCTGTCAGGAAGCCAAGCGGGCAAGGAGATAGCCTTCAGTGAGGAGGCTGGACCTGCCCCTGCACATGGGGGGGATCCCAGCACAGAGGCTTTGCTCCCACCAGGCCCCACGCCCACCCCTTCCAGCCCTAGCTCCCCTGGCCTCTGATGGGGTGTGCTCAGAGAGACCCCCCTTCTCCCAGGGGCCCATGTGGGGCGCATTCAGGAGGAGAACTCTGCTCCCAATAAAAAAAGCAAACACCCCCACCACCACCACCCCCTGCGCTGTCCACCCACCCTAGGATGCATTCCCAAACTGATGGGAAACTATTTCTGGATTAGCCTGGTGGGGGAGGGGAGGATCCTCGGGCAGCAGCTTCCTGCTTCCAGGAGCTGGGCCTCTGCTGGTCACAGGCACAGAGGGCTGGGAACACTGGGCCCAGGCCCACCCCGGATATGGAGCCGCCCATGTGTGGGGCCTGGGACTGTCCGGCTAAGCTGTCATGGGAGGGGACAGTCCAGTCCCTGCCCTGGGGAGGAGTGCCCTCTACAACAGGGCAGGTAGGGACAAGACAGAGCAGGGCACTGGGAAGTCCACGGAGGGGCCAGAGGGCCTCGGGGGACAAAGGAGGGAGGGGTGGGCCTCAGTGGAGGCTGGAAGAAAGCACCAAAGGCCCTTCCTGACCTAAGACGGGGGCTCCACCCAGGGACAGGGTGGAGGGGTCACCACTCTGCAGAGGAGTGGGACCTGTGAGGGCAGCACCCTTCCAACCACATGCCACCCCAGGCAGACACCAATGGACTATCCTGGGGGATCCTGGAGAGGTTAGTGCCCTTATGCGCTGGGGGAGCCAGAGCCTCAGGCCGTGCCAACCCAGTGCCAGGAGCCTCCCACCACCCAGGAGCCGACTTACTCCAAGCCCACAGCCAGTTCAGAGGACAAACTCAACCCTGGAAAGCACCCCCCACCCCCACCCCCCAGGTTCCTGGAACTGGCTGGCCCAGAAAACACACTCAGGGGGACTGCAGCCACCTCACTGCCTGGACAAACAGCCCAGCCGGCCTCCAGGCTCCAGCCTTGCATTCCAGCCGTGGGGGAGGGCAGCCTGCTCACTCATAAATCAGCGGTTGGGGGGGGGGGGTGACCCCTCCCCCTCCCCCACCAGGACGGGGCCCTGGGGCTCAGGAGAGGGCCAGGTTCATGCAGGCTTTCAGGGATGGGGCAAGGGTGCAGAGGCCCCCCCACAGGCAGTAAGCGGCTTTCAGGGATGGGGCAAGGGTGCAGAGGCCCCCCCACAGGCAGTAAGCAGCCAGTGCTCTCCAGGAATCTGAGGTAGCACCTCCCCCACAAGCCTCTGGGAGGTGGGGGTGGGGGTGAGAAGGAGACAGGATGAGGAGGGGCCCCAGGAGATTCCCACTGAGAAGAGAGGGTGGGTGGGCCTCAGCTCCTCCCCGGGTGCAAATGCCCCCTTGCCTGCTCTTTTTCTGGTTTTGAGTCGAAGATGTTGCTTAGGTCACCCACCAATGCCATCGTAGAAAAAGCACACATCTTGACAATCCTCCCAGAGGCGACCCCCAGGGACTCCGGGTTTGTGAGCTGCTGGGGCTTCCCCACCCCAACAGATATCTCCCCACCAGGCCCCTGAGGGAAGGGGGACCACAGACCAGTTGCAGGACTTGGATTTGACCCCCGTTTCTGGCAAGCTCGTGAGCCAAAGGATTTGGGGAGGCAGCAAAGGATGGCTCTTCTGAGTGCAAAGGCCAAGACCCAGGTGGTGGGGGTGGGAGGGGCTTGGAGACACTGGTCAAGTGGTGAAGGGCCTGACCACTCAGTGGCCGAGAGCTGTGGCAGTGCTCCTGTACAGAGCCACCGGCTTGGAAACCCACGGGTGGGGCCCTTCTGCTCTGTCTTACAGGGTCGCATGAGTCAGATAAGACTCGATGGCAACAGGTTTGTTTGTTTCAGTTAAAAGGCTGGGTCCCGTAGCCACCCGTGATGCCGATGCCGTCAGCTCAGGTTTACCTGCTGGGGGGGGGCCTGGTTGAACAGTTGGGGGCTCCTTCCACAGGGGCTGGGACCACAGTGTTTTGGTGGATGACGTCAGGACCAGGAGGGAGGGACAAGGACCGTCCTGCATCTGCTCCTGCCCCCACCCCTCTCAGTGAGAATACAGAAATAACTACAGGCCCAGGCATAACAAAGTCTGATCAACATATAACTCCCCACCCACCCACCCACCCAGGGGGGGACGAACTACAGAAATGTAGATGAAAGGAGACAGCGATCAGTGTGTCAGACATGAAAATAATAATTTATAATTTATCAAGGGTTCACGAGGATGGGAGGGTGGGGGAGGAAGGGAAAAAAGAGGAGCTCATACTAAGGGCTCAAGTAGAAAAAAATGTTTTGGAGATGTTGATGGCAACATATGCACAAGTGTGCTTGATACCATTGAGTGATGGATTGTTACAAGATTTGTAAGTGCCCCCCCAATAAATGATTAATAAAAAAAAAACCTTGGCCCCTCCCACCACCACATGGCCCCCACCTGGAGGAATGCAGGGTGGGGGGAGGAGCAGGGGCCTGGAGACCAGCTGAGACTGCACACAGCCAGTGCAGCCTCCTCCAGGCCCCAAAAGAGCTCCCCCACAAAGCGGGTGGGCGCCCCCCTACCAGGTGTACTGTGGTCTGGGGACACAGCTGTGACAGACAAAAGACCCCTCATGGTCACGCTCACCTCCTAACCTGGGAGATCCACACACGTCTCCAGGGAGACTGCAGGGAAAGGGGTTCCTGCACCAAGGGGGAGCTGGGTGGGCTGAGGCCCAGGTGAGCATCCCTGCCTCGGGGGCTGTCCTCATGGACCCTTCTTCAGAACTCACCTCCCTCCCTCCCTCGGACCCTGTGTCACCTACCAGGGAGGCCTTCTCCCCTCCCATGCCCTCCACCCCTGCTTTGTTTCTCTCCTGACCACTTGCCATGACTCCGCACGCACACGCTGCCCATCTCGCCTAAGGGCCAGTGTGTGACTGTACTTGGAAGTACAGTTCAGCACGGGGCTGCTGTCCTTTTGATCACAGCTGCATCCCAAGTGCAGGCTGTAAGGGCTGTGAATGAATGGATGAATGAATGAATGACGTTTCTGCTGGAGACCCAAGTGACAGGAAGTGGTCAGCCACAATAAGGCGCGAGGGACAGAGAAGTGGTAAGGAAGGCACACGGCTCAGGGGACACAGAGCTTCTGTGAGGGGCTGGTTGAACAGTATGATAGGCAAACTCAGATCAAACGGGAACAGGCAAAGTTAGTGGAGAAAGCAAGTGTCTTGCTAACTAGATGTTCACAACAAGCAATACTGACGTAGAAAGAATTAGGAGCCACTCAGAGCAGAGAGGCAGCATTAAGAACCCTCAGAACCGGCACCGTCCCTGGGCAGAAGCAAGCTTTCAAATTCCGGGAGGATGGAGGCAGGCACAAGAACCAGGGGACCTCCTGGGCCACTGAGGGGCTTCGGCTTGACCCCATGAGGAATCTACTGCCTGCCAGTGCTAGGCAGGGGACCGATGTGGCCCTCCCTGCCTGACCCCATCTCTCCTGTGCTTGGCGCTCAGGGACAGCCAGCCTATCTCCTTACTCCACCCCAGAACCTGTTCACCGTGGTCTCTGCGGGTTTGTCTGAAACCCTTCTACCCACCCCTCTTCAGAAACCACTTCAAATCGCTACTTCTCCCCAACACCTGCCCTGTCTGGATGCCCTTGCCCATTCTCAAGGTCCTCCCTCAGCCCTTGTTTGCTAAAATGATCCCCCAAGACTTCTGCGGATGCGGCACCCATGCCAGTGTTTACCGCCTTGTGAGGCAGGCTGGTCATTAAGCTTCTGGGGAAAATTAGGTGCCACCTAATGGCCCACACCAGGGGACAGCTTCAGGATGTTGTCCCACGATGGAATGCATGTGGTGGTGAACAGGGCGGACGACTAATGACAGCCAGTGTGTGGACAATGAACCCAAGAGCTGGGCATGAGCTAGTCAAGATGCTTTCTCCGTGATGAAACATTCTGGCAGGATTCTGGGAGTACAGGTGCATAGTTCCCTTCTTCAGTTGCCTCTGCCCCTAGGAGGGGTTAAGGGCGTCAGATGAGAGAGGGGAGAGCCCAGGCACCTAGGCGTGGGTCATCCCAGGGTCACAAACAGGCCCTCACACCCCTGCTCCCAAAGGGGGCTGTGGCTCTTCTCTACCAGGCCAACCCAAGTAGGAAGAGAAACCCGCTAGGGACACCCGACAAAGACAAAGCTTGGCAGAGCCAGGAGACCCAAATTGTCTCACACAAGTACTGGCACTCTGTGGCTTCTGGGTCTGGAGTAAAAAGGCTTCTTCTCCAGAACAGGCTTCCATGGGAGGGCCCCAGGGATGGTGAGCTGCAGCTGGTCACCCTTCCTTTCTGACAAGAGATGGAGTCCCCCATGTGCAGCTGACGGGTTGTCCCCTCCTTCCTCACTGCTCCAGTCACCCACCACTGCCACCAGAGAAGTCCTGGTCTACATAGGTCCCCCACACTCTGGGGTCCACTCTTGGACGATAACAACAACGGGGCGAGCTCTTTCTATTAGGTGACAGGCCAGCAAACCCCATTCTGTCTTCCCTGATGGAATGCAGAGTCAGTCCCTTCTACATCGCAACACCATGAGGAACCGGAAGAGGCAGGGAGGGAGATGCTGCCTGGGGTGGGCTTGTCTGGGCCCCTCGATCTAACTTGAGCTAACTGTGTTAGGAACACTGGAAGGGCTGGCACTGCCCGAGCAAGCCTGTTGCCCCGAGACCAAGACTTGGCTCAGATGAACTAGTGCATCTGTCCTGGAGGTGTGGGATGGATGGGGCAGACCCCCATAAAATCCCACAACAGGTTGGACAGGTGGCTCCATTGGTCTGCTGGGGGAGTCTATACCAGTGCTGGGACTCCTCAAGTCCAAGGAGACCCAGCCTCTGCCCCTGGGCATGACCTCAGTAGCCAGCACACAAAATGAAGACGCCCAGGCTC